ACAAGACTGCTTCAACAGCAGTCCGATGTCTATAATGACCTCATAGACGAATGGCAGCAACGCTGGGACGAATCATCCAAGGGGCGCCATCTTTACCAATTTTTTCCATCTGTTCGCACGAACGGTTGTCGAGGACATGGCTTGAGGTGGATCACTGTGTCGCTCAATTTTCTTACGGGTCATGGTAACTTTAAGAGCAAGTTGTATTCATTTAAATTAGTCGAGTCACCATTGTGTCAATGCTCAACACCTAACTCTCATATTGAACAGTCTGCTCATCATATCCTCTGGGAATGTAGTCTTTGGTATAATGAACGTAATATAATGCTGAATAGCTTGCAGGTGACATCTGGGGCGGTTATACTATGGGGATCTTGTGTCAACTAGGGTGAATTTCCGTGCGTTTAGGCGATTCTGCCATACATATTATAGAAAATCAAATATAGTCATGTAGGACCCGTAAATATTTGGTGGCCGTGGTGCTTCCCTGTTTAAAAGGGTGTATGCCTATTTTACTTCATTTTGTCTCCCGCTTTGCTAAGGAGGGAAGTGGATTTACTGTATTTCCAACTCCTCCAATTTTCTTCTGATTAATTTCGTTGCGGGTTCCAAGACAGTTTAATTTCTTCCTGGGACTTCCCCGAGTGTCATAACTCGGTGTGTTCGTGGGTCACTGCTGTGGATCCTGGTGTACAGGAGTTACAGTGGTGGGCGTGTGGGTGGGATTAGTCCCAATTAAAAAAAAAAAAATCTCTCCACTGGGTCAGCCGGTACGGTGAGTAGTCCGCCTGAGAAGAAAAGCGGCTACAAGCAGTATCGTCAGCGTATGAGATTATTTTTGCATTATTGATTTTTAGGTTACCATAAATCATTGATGTATATCAGAAATAAAGTTGGGCCTAAAACACTCCCTTGAGGTACGCCGTAAGATACTTCTGTATCATTACTAACGTATGATCCTATCTTGACCCTTTGCTTTCTACTTGAAAGGTAATCCTTAAAAAATTTCAGAGGGATTCCTCTTACTCCATAACTCTCTAGCTTGGTGACAAGTGTCGGAAACCGAAACGGTGTCAAAAGCTTTTTTGAGATCTAAGAATATCGTCAGGCATTTTTTTCCTTATCTAGATGTTCAGTAACTAAAGAAGTGAGGGCTGTAACTGCGTCCTCAGTGGATATTTCTTTCGAAAGCCAAATTGCGCTGATGAAATTAATTTAAATTTATTCATGTAGTTTGCAAGTCTCGTGTTAGTTATTTTTTTCAATAATTTTCAATAAAACTGATAAGAGCGAGATAGGTCTGTAATTGTTGACATTGTTTCTGTTCCCACCCTTGTGTACCGGTGTAATTATGGATTGTTTAAGTGCGGCTGGAAAGGACACCATTAGAAAAACAAAGATTAACCAAGTGGGTAATAATAGGCACAACTTCCCCTCTGATATACTTTAGAAATATGGTGGGGATATTATCTGATCCAGGGGCACTGTCTGATTTCAAGCGCATTAAAACTCTTTCCACTTCCTCGGATCAGTGTCTAAAATCAAATCAAAATCAAAAAAATCAGTGTCTCTTTCGTCCGTAGACCGTTGCTAGAAGCAGACACGTTACAATTTGTTTAATTAAGATCTGTTTAAGAAATCAATCAACAGTGGTTCTTTCTAATAAGTTTATAGTGACATATATCCTGTGTAAGTCACCACTTAAAATATCAGACAAATCTGTGAACAGTGGCCTACCGTAGCGAGCGGGGAGCCCGCACACCTCACCGGCCCGCGATAAGAGATAGTAGCCATAATGCTGTCTCCGTCTAGCCCAGTGCAACGTTGCGTTGAGTGCACTTGCACCGAATAGACATTACAATGAGTCATTGTGCAGCGTGTAATACCGACATTATTCAATAACTTAATTACGTGTGTTCGATGCATTCAAAGCTATCACACACTATGTGTAAACTTCTCTGAAGAGCATATACAGAACAGCAAGCCCTAAACAACTGGCTCTGCCCGCAATGTCTCAGTAAACAACCAAAAAGTAATAATTCTAATGCTCCTATACGCCCGTCGACGCCTACATCTATGGCTGATTTAACTTTTAATGTTACGCGGCGTAAAGTCAACCAAATGAGACCAGAAATCCAGCAAGTGCAAACATATCCGCGGAGCCCTGGCGCCTAGAAATAAGGGAGATCATACGGAGGAGCTACGAAATGCCCTACATGACACAGTGCGTTCGTTAACTGCCAAACGTTAAGGAAATAAATGATCAAATTAGGGATTTCCGAGAATCCATGAGTCTTTATTAATAGTGAGTTCGAAAAACTTAAGAACGATAATACTATGTATAAAAAGGAAATGGATCAAATGAGAAAGGAAAATGGAATTTTACGTTCGGACTGGAGGAAACCAGGCTGAAATATAGTCAATTGGATCAAATGTTACGCGCTAATAACGTTGAAATTCAGTGTGTTCCGGAATCTAAATTAGAAAAAGTACTGGATGTCGTGAAACAACTAGGACGCACCGTCAATATTGTGTTGCATGATAGCTGATATTCAATTACTGTTCAAGAGTCGCGAAGGTGAACATGGGTCTATCATTTAATACATTAAAGATCATATACGGAGCTACTTATTTAGGTTCTATGTGCTATGGTGCACCTGTATGGGGCCGATAGGGCGACCGTAGGCGCTGTCCGTCGCAAACTGTTACAAGGCCAACGACTTGCACTGATATTTTTGTGCAAGGCATATAGGACGGTTAGCACTGAGGCTTTTGCCGGTGTTGGCAGGTGTCCTTCCGGTCGATCTCGAGGTGCAGAGACGTGCAGCCATGTACTATTCAAGACAAAACATGGAATGCGATTTCTTGGGCGCGCGGGATCGCGGTAAAATTACAAGACTGCTTCAACAGCAGTCCGATGTCTATAATGACCTCATAGACGAATGGCAGCAACGCTGGGACGAATCATCCAAGGGGCGCCATCTTTACCAATTTTTTCCATCTGTTCGCGAACGGTTGTCGAGGACATGGCTTGAGGTGGATCACTGTGTCGCTCAATTTCTTACGGGTCATGGTAACTTTAAGAGCAAGTTGTATTCATTTAAATTAGTCGAGTCACCATTGTGTCAATGCTCAACACCTAACTCTCATTATGAACAGTCTGCTCATCATATCCTCTGGGAATGTAGTCTTTGGTATAATGAACGTAATATAATGCTGAATAGCTTGCAGGTGACATCTGGGGCGGTATACTATGGGGATCTTGTGTCAACTAGGGTGAATTTCCGTGCGTTTAGGCGATTCTGCCATACATATTATAGAAATCAAATATAGCTCATGTAGGACCCGTAATATTTGGTGGCCGTGGTGCTTCCCTGTTTAAAAGGGTGTATGCCTATTTTACTTCATTTTGTCTCCCGCTTTGCTAAGGAGGGAAGTGGATTTACTGTATTTCCAACTCCTCCAATTTTCTTCTGATTAATTTCGTTGCGGGTTCCAAGACAGTTTAATTTCTTCCTGGGACTTCCCGAGTGTCATAACTCGGTGTGTTCGTGGGTCACTGCTGTGGATCCTGGTGTACAGGAGTTACAGTGGTGGGCGTGTGGGTGGGATTAGTCCCAATTAAAAAAAAAAAAATCTCTCCACTGGGTCAGCCGGTGAGTAGTCCGCCTGAGAAGAAAAGCGGCTACAAGCAGTATCGTCAGCGTATGAGATTATTTTTGCATTATTGATTTTTAGGTTACATAAATCATTGATGTATATCAGAAATAAAGTTGGGCCTAAAACACTCCCTTGAGGTACGCCGTAAGATACTTCTGTATCATTACTAACGTATGATCCTATCTTGACCCTTTGCTTTCTACTTGAAAGGTAATCCTTAAAAAATTTCAGAGGGATTCCTCTTACTCCATAACTCTCTAGCTTGGTGACAAGTGTCGGAACCGAAACGGTGTCAAAAGCTTTTTTGAGATCTAAGAATATCGTCAGGCATTTTTTTCCTTTATCTAGATGTTCAGTAACTAAAGAAGTGAGGGCTGTAACTGCGTCCTCAGTGGATATTTCCTTTCGAAAGCCAAATTGCGCTGATGAAATTAATTTAAATTTATTCATGTAGTTTGCAAGTCTCGTGTTAGTTATTTTTTCAATAATTTTCAATAAAACTGATAAGAGCGAGATAGGTCTGTAATTGTTGACATTGTTTCTGTTCCCACCCTTGTGTACCGGTGTAATTATGGATTGTTTAAGTGCGGCTGGAAAGACACCATTAGAAAAACAAAGATTAACCAAGTGGGTAATAATAGGCACAACTTCCCCTCTGATATACTTTAGAAATATGGTGGGGATATTATCTGATCCAGGGGCACTGTCTGATTTCAAGCGCATTAAAACTCTTTCCACTTCCTCGGATCAGTGTCTAAAATCAAATCAAAATCAAAAAAATCAGTGTCTCTTTCGTCCGTAGACCGTTGCTAGAAGCAGACACGTTACAATTTGTTTAATTAAGATCTGTTTAAGAAATCAATCAACAGTGGTTCTTTCTAATAAGTTTATAGTGAATATTATCCTGTGTAAGTCACACTTAAAATATCAGACAAAATCCTGTGAACAGTGGCCTACCGTAGCGAGCGGGGAGCCCGCACACCTCACCGCCGCGATAAGAGATAGTAGCCATAATTGCTGTCTCCGTCTAGCCCAGTGCAACGTTGCGTTGAGTGCACTTGCACCGAATAGACATTACAATGAGTCATTGTGCAGCGTGTAATACCGACATTATCAATAACTTTATTACGTGTGTTCGATGCATTCAAAGCTATCACACACTATGTGTAAACTTCTCTGAAGAGCATATACAGAAACAGCAAGCCCTAAACAACTGGCTCTGCCCGCAATGTCTCAGTAAACAACCAAAAAGTAATAATTCTAATGCTCCTATACGCCCGTCGACGCCTACATCTATGGCTGATTTAACTTTTAATGTTACGCGGCGTAAAGTCAACCAAATGAGACCAGAAATCCAGCAAGGTGCAAACATATCCGCGGAGCCCTGGCGCCTAGAAATAAGGGAGATCATACGGGAGGAGCTACGAAATGCCCTACATGACACAGTGCGTTCGTTAACTGCAAACGTTAAGGAAATAAATGATCAAATTAGGGATTTCCGAGAATCCATGAGTTTTATTAATAGTGAGTTCGAAAAACTTAAGAACGATAATACTATGTATAAAAAGGAAATGGATCAAATGAGAAAGGAAAATGGAATTTTACGTTCGGACTTGGAGGAAACCAGGCTGAAATATAGTCAATTGGATCAAATGTTACGCGCTAATAACGTTGAAATTCAGTGTGTTCCGGAATCTAAATTAGAAAAAGTAATGGATGTCGTGAAACAACTAGGACGCACCGTCAATATTGTGTTGCATGATAGCGATATTCAATACTGTTCAAGAGTCGCGAAGGTGAAACCGGATAGTACCCGACCCCGATCTATATTGGCCAGATTCAGCTCTCCCCGCATCCGTGACAACTTTTTGGCGGCGGTATCTGCATATAATAAGAAGCATATCCAGGACAAACTAAACACGCATGACCTAGGATTTACTTCAAATGGGAAGTCTCCAGTATTTGTCGTGGAGAACTTATCGCCGGAAAATAAAAGCCTGCATGCGGCCACCCGTATACGTGCAAAGGATCTGAAATATAAGTTCATATGGGTGCGAGGAGGTCGTATTTATGTCAGAAAGTCTGAAACAGCGGAGAAGGTATATATCCGTAATCTCGATGTATTGAATAAACTTACCTGACTCATAGCCTACCCTACCGTATGTAATTTGTTGATTGACATGACCCTAATAAGTATTAAGTATCTGATTTACTGGTTGTTGATATATTATATTACATTTGATAAGTGCTTTAAATTGGAATGTTTTTATTTTATAAATTTAAATTATTTAATTATTTACCTTATTTGCTTTAATTATTATTGCATTAATGCTGAGAGTACATTGTTTGGCTCATTGAATAATAAAATTGTAAACGTTTTTCACATAAATTACAGATCTTCTAATTGTGAGTGCTATTATTATTTTTATCTTTATTTGTTGGTGAGTTTCTATACGAGTATGTTTCCATGTTTAAAAGGTGACAACGGTAATATCAATGAATTGAATATTCTCATAGAAGTCGCGGGTAGTCGGTCATGCAGCGGCGTATTTGTAACGGTTGAAGTTGGTGAGTCTCGCATATTTCTAACAAATATGTTTGTAGCGATATTAGTAATGAACTTTTACTATCAGTTTTGTGTCTTTTTCAAGCGTTTAATGTGCGAAGAATGCTACGCTCTTAATCAATATATATTGCAGTTATATTCACCCTGCTTGTGCAATGTACCTACTTTTGCATCCTTAAAGTTTTTTACCTTATTAGATTATGGAGAATAAGAAGCTAACTTTTTATTATCAGAACGTTCGCGGTTTGAGAACTAAGGTGTAAGAGGCATTTAATAATATTTCACATTGCAATTACGATATTATACTCTTCACGGAAACATGGTTGCAAGATGATATTTTGGATTGGGAGTTGTGTGGTGATAGTTATCAAATATTTCGGCAAGACCGTGATTTGATTTTGACGGGTAAAAAGAACGGGGGAGGGGTTATGATGTGCATAAACCGCAAATTTAATGCAACAAAGAGTCGTGATATTGTATGTACTGGTGCGGAGATTTTACATGTTACACTTTCATCCTTAAATACTGTTACTGGTAACGACTTAAGCCTTATATTAGTGTACATTCCACCTGATGCGTCCAGCATACCGTTGCTACTAGATTTAATTAGTCAGATCGTAGATAACATATTAGCTCCCCATGTCAACCATGACTGTATAGTCATGGGTGACTTTAACTTACCTTGCTTGACTTGGACAGAGGAAGGCTACTCTGTATTAAATAACTGCCCACAACCAATGCGAATTGCGGCAACTACTTTTGTGGATAACATTAGCGTTCTGGGTTTCGCGCAATACAATCTCATCACAAACTCAAAAGGTAGAATGTTGGACTTGTGTTTCTCGACCACACCTCTTCGTATTAGCAAGAGCGGTGACCCTTTGCTCCGCGAAGACCGTTATCATCCTTCGCTGGTACTAACGGCTACTGACTTGTTCTCAACGCCCCTAGTGGATGTACATACACCGCGTCCCAACTATCATAGGGGAGATTACGTTGAACTCAATAAATATTTTAACAAAATAGACTGGGATGTAGCTTTAGCGGCGGAGTCGGTCGATGATGCGGTTGAAGCCTTTTATAAAAGAATACAATCGGGGGTGGAGCGCTTTGTTCCACTAAAGAACAAGGCTAAAAGTCAAAACTATCCCGTTTGGTATAACTATGTACTTATTAAGATCATTCGTGAAAAAAATAAAATACATAAAAAGTGGAAAAGATACGGGAACCCTCGTGACTATCATGAGTTTTCAATGTTGCGTGCTAGGCAACGCAGAGCTCAGAAATCATGCTTTGAAAACTATATAAAAAATACAGAAGAATTGATTAGGCACACCCCCAAGGCTTTCTGGACGTATGTCAAAAGTAAAAGAGGTGGAACTCAATATCCAAACACACTTTCATTGAATAACGAAACATTTAAGGACGGCCCTAGCATCAGTGAGGCGTTCAATGATTATTTTTATAGTGTTTTTGCTAAGCCACCCCTACACCCTGCAACAGGAATAGCAAATCTGTGTTCCTCAAGTGAAGTTATGAACCCAATTAACCTATTATCAAACATTGATATTACCGATGACGCTGTATTGGGCATCTTGCGTGCTTTGGATAGAAGAAAGGGCCCCGGGACTGACGGTCTACCAGCAGTATTCTTACGTGGTTGTGCTGATAGTTTAGCACACCCAGTTACATTATTATTTAAAATGTCTTTGGCCAAGAGTTTCTATCCTTCTTTGTGGAAGGCTGCTCACATAGTCCCCGTACATAAAAAGGGCCCCAAGTCAGATATAAAAAACTATCGACCGATATCGATTTTAAACACGCTCGGCAAGGTGTTCGAAAGGGTTGTCTACAGAAATATCTACCCCGTAGTGACTGGCGGTTTGGGCTCGAGTCAGCATGGTTTCATTAAACGACGCTCAACAACAACGAACTTAGCCACGTTCAGCAACTATGTTATATGTAACATGGAAGCTGGTGGACAGGTTGACGTGATCTACACCGATTTCGAAAAAGCGTTCGATCGTGTGGATCACGTGATCCTACTCGCAAAGCTGCAAAGTCTTGGGATCCATGGTGATTTGCTCAGATGGATCAGTTCATACTTGTTAAATAGGTCTCAGGCTGTGGTTGTGGGTGGTTTTAGATCGGACTTTGTAAATGTCCCTTCCGGTGTTCCCCAGGGCTCTCTTTTGGGACCCCTTTTCTACTGCGCATATTTATATGACATTGAATCGAATTTCAGGTATGCAAAACACCTGCTATACGCAGATGATATGAAAATATACATGCGTGTAAGATCTAGACTTGATTGTGAACTTGTACAGCGTGACCTTAATGCTTTATATTGCTACTATATACAGAATAACATCACAGTCAACGTTTCTAAGTGTCAATGTATTAGCTTTAGCCGTTCTAAAACCCCAATCAAATATATATACAAGTTCGACAGCAATGTTATTGAAAGGGTTGATGTGGTCAGAGATCTCGGTGTAATGTTAGATTCAAAATTGCTATTCTCTGAACACATTGATCATATAATCAGTAAAGCCTCTCGTAATCTTGGTTTTGTGATGCGTACTTGCGAACCTTTTAGAAATTGCCACAGTTTAAAGATTGTATATTATGCATATGTCCGTAGCATTTTGGAGTACTGCAGTCAAATTTGGTCACCTCAATATAATGTTTATATTGCGAGACTGGAAAGTTTGCAGCAGAGGTTTGTGAAATTCCTAAATTTTAAGTCTGGGAAACGTCATGCCTCTTATTCCGTAGACTGTAGACACTATCACTTTCTTCCTCTTGATGATAGACGTAAGATGCTGGATATGCTTCTACTTTTTGATATCCTACGTGGTGAACTTGATTGTAGTGATCTCCTATCATGTATACGGTTCTGTACACCAAAGCGTCGTACTAGACACACCCACTTATTTAATATACCTAATCACCGCACTAATTATGGTAGTAATGCTGTAATGACACGACTACCTCGCGTTTATACGGGAGACTTTGAGGGAATAGATATATTTCATTTGAACAAGGAGTCATATCGGAAACAAATCGCGAGTATACTCGCTAGTAAATGGATGGATAGATAAGATAGGTAGATAAAGTTCATTTCTCAATTCATTTCTTATTGTTTTATTGTATTGTAAGGAATGAAGGAATAGAGTGAAGTACGCCAATGGTGGTCTGTACCTAACTTCGCGGTGTGACGTCATTCGAATGAGACTATCGAATGACGAGTAGTATCGTGAAGATCGGTCACTTTTGCTCGGGACCTCGCGGTGTGCGGACTGGTGCATCTCTGTGTCGTGTATCACGTAACTATAATAGTTTACTTAGCCTTAATATTTTAATTATGTATTAGAGTTAAATAACCAGATAGTGTTTTTGTATTCTGTATAACATTAAATTGTTTTTTTAATCAAATAAATCTGTTTTTGCTTACATCAGAAGTGGGACAAAGTTATCCTTCAACCCACAATCGATTTTACTTTTTCTTTTTGTTACTTGTGTTATTAATATCTGGTGTTTATCTGCTAATATTGTGTAATTTGCTTCGGTGTATATTGATCTTTTATAATGGGTAGGCGTAAACGTTCATGCAGTCGATCTGACTCGAGTGATGATAATAATTCTAAACGTTACCGCCGCCGGCATCGTAGTCGTTCTACCCACGGTTCTTCTCATGGTTCGGAATTACGTGAATCGTTACAAGTTATCATGACGCGGTTAAACGCATTAGAAGGTAGGTCTACCATGACGACATCTTCAAATATCGAAACGCGTACAGAACCTAATGATTCTACTGAAAAAATCGTAGACGCTATTCAGTCTTTAAGGTGGGGTAGTTCTCGTGATTATTACGTTTCGAATTTCGACCCTAACATGAATGATGTTGATTTTTGGTTTGAGGAGGTAGACAGAGCACAAATCCTTAACAAATGGTGTGACGCTGAGTGCTTGTCGCGCATTGGGCACTGTCTTAAGGGTGATGCTAAGTCATGGTTAGATGATTGGGTCACGACGGACCGATCATGGAGTAACTTTAAAAAAGATTTTAGGTCTTTATGCGTGAACAAGATCGATGTGGCGAATATATTGTTTGAAGTGATGAGTACGAGTTCCGACGATTATGCAACGTATGCTGAATACGCGCGTAGATCTTTATTGCGTTTGAAAATAGTGAAGGGACTGAGTGATGAGCTTATTAGTGCGATCGTCATACGTGGTATTAATGACCCGCATATTAAGGCGTCTGCTACGAATTGTAATCTGAAGCCCTGTGAATTAGTAAATTATCTAGCTACTTTCCTTAAGCCAGCGCATAATAAACCCGAAAAGCCTTCTAGTTCTGACCGCGGTATTAGTAAAGGATTTGTTAAACCACATATTGGCAAACGGTAGTTATCAAGCATTCCGATTAAATGTTTTTCATGTGGACTGATGGGTCACAAACAAGTTAACTGTCGCTCCAAGCACAAACTATCAGTAAATACGAATCAAGTACCCTCCAATAGTACGACTGTAATACCGTCTACTAGTGTAAAGCCAACTAATAGTGAGATAAAACTGGAATCGAAAACTACCTGCGTGTATTGTAAAAAGATAGGTCATCATATTAAGGATTGTTTTGCTAAGCAACGTTCTGATCAGAGGAGAGCGAACGTAAATTTTTGCTCATTGCCTAAATTGAATAATTCTAGAGACGTTATGGTGGGAGTGATTCAGGGAATTCCCATTGACGTCTTGATAGATAGTGGCGCGTTAGACGTTTCACTAATCTCCACCTCTGTCGTGAGTTATTTTTCGTGTTCTTCAAAACCCACTTATCGCGAGTTAAAAGGTGTTGGTCATACTATCACTCGAGTGCTCTCTTACGTAACGCTTACCATAGAGTTTGAAGAAATCACTCTTGAGGTTGATTTATTGGTTGTGCCCAGTGAAAGTATGAATGCACCTATCATAATCGGTACAGATGTTTTAAATCGTGAGGGGGTAACATATATACGTACTAAGGGTTGTCAACGATTAATTTACAATTCGGTCCCGACAAAAGTTTCGACGGTAGAAGCGGATGAGCACGCTATTAAGACCTCACTTGTAGGAAATGACCGCAAAAGACTTTTGGAGATTTTAAATCAGTTTTCAAAGTTTATTATTACCGGACTGGCTACTACAAGCGTGACGACTGGTAGCATGCACATCCGTTTAAACAGTGATGCACCGATACATTACAGGCCCTACCGGTTATCTTTTAATGAAAAGTTGAAGGTTCGTGAAATTATTGCAGATCTTTTATCTAAAAGAATAATACGAGAATCGGAGTCTGCGTACGCGAGCCCTATACTCTTGATAAAGAAAAAAGACGGTACTGATCGAATGTGTGTAGATTTCCGGGCCTTAAATAGAATTACGATTAAAGACAGATATCCTTTGCCGTTAATTGAGGATCATATTGACCGGTTGGGTAAAGGTAAATATTTTACGACCCTTGATATGGCATCAGGGTTCCATCAGATTCGTTTAGATAATAACTCGATTCCTCTCACGGGTTTTGTGACGCCAGAAGGTCATTATGAATATTTAAAAATGCCTTTTGGACTCGCGAATGCGCCAGTATTTTTCCAAAGAATCATTAGTAATACCCTGCGTTCTTTCATAAACAGCGGCGTTGTTGTGGTGTATATTGATGACGTTTTACTTATTAGTGAGAGTATTGACGCCGGTTTACATATCCTTAATAGTGTTCTAAAGACTTTAACGGATGCTGGGTTTTCGTTGAATATGAAAAAATGTTCCTTTTTGAACACTGAAATAGAGTATTTAGGACGCGTAATAACTAACGGTGAGGTTCGTCCTTCAAAATCTAAAATAACGGCATTAATAAACTCACCTGCGCCTAAAAATGTGCGTCAAGTTAGGCAGTTCTTAGGACTTGCGGGTTATTTTAGAAAGTACATAGAGAATTACGCTTTCAAAACCTCATGTATCGCACGTTTAACTAAAAAGGATGTAGAATTTAATTGGGCTGAAGAACAAGAACGAGCTCGTGCCGATATTATTAAGTGTTTAACTAACGAACCGGTTCTCACTATATTTAACCCTAATTTAAATACAGAGGTCCATACGGACGCCAGCAGTCAAGGATACGGAGCTATTCTAGTTCAAATTCATAGGGATGGTCGTAAGTGTGTAGTGGCCTACTACAGTCAGGTGACTAGTGGAGCGGAAGTACGATATCACTCCTATGAATTAGAAACGTTAGCTGTAGTTAGAGCCTTACGTCATTTTCGTCACTACCTTATTGGCATTGAATTCAAAGTTATTACCGATTGCAATGCTTTAAAAGCTACACAAAATAAGAAGGATCTCTTACCACGTGTGGCCCGATGGTGGGTGTATTTACAAGATTTTACATTCACCATTGTTTACCGTAAAGGCGTATTAATGCCTCATGCCGATTACCTTAGTCGCAACCCTATTCGTTTTGTAAATAGCATAGACAAACCACGTAATTGGGCGCAAATCGCACAGTCAGGTGACGAAGAAACTCGAAAACTAATTAGTCAATTAGACGATGGACAATTAGACGCTAGTCGTTATGTAAAAAACAATGACATTCTTTACTACCGGTACTCGCCGGTAGGAGAACAATCACGGCTGTTATGTTATATACCAAAGGGGTATAGGCTTAGCCTACTCAGGGTTTTTCATGATGAACATTGTCATGTGGGGGTAGATAAAACAATAGGGTTGATATTAAAATATTTCTGGTTTCCTGGTCTGCAAACGTTTGTTAAAAAATACATAGGACATTGTTTAACCTGTATAGCCAATAAAAGGATTCCACGAGCCGTTCTACAGCCTATCACATCGTGGCCTAAGCCAGATATAGCTTTTCACACCCTCCATATGGATGCTCTCGGTCCCTTGCCCGAGTCTAATGGATATAAACATATTATGGTAGTAGTAGATGCTTTCTCTAAATATTGTCTACTGTATCCTCTTTATAAACAAGATTTGGGTGAGTTAAAACAAGTATTTCAAAATGTTATGTCCTTATTCGGTACTCCACGTCTCTTGGTTACTGACAGAGCCCTTATGTTTGAATCTGCACGATTTGTTAAGTGGATTGACGATTTAGGATGTTCGATACATCATATCACCCCAGAAATGCATCGTTCTAATGGTCAGGTTGAAAGATATGTTCGCACTCTACTTAATATGTTACGTATAGAGATCAATCATAAGAAAAGTAAATGGTCTGAAGAATTATGGCGTTTACAGCTTGTCCTCAACATTACTCAACAAAAGACCACACGGGCGTCTCCATGAAATCTTTTAATAGGCACCGAGGGAGTCACCCCCGTAATACAAGCTCTAGTTCGTGATGTTACTCAAGACTGCTCAAGTTCTGAACGGCAGTCCCTGCGAGAGCTTGACAGACAAAGGACGGCCGAACGTCTTAAAGAAAACCAAGAGCGACAAGATAAATATGTCAATAAAGGTCGACACCCGCCCCATGTTTTCCAGATGAACGACCTTGTGTTTGTCATTAAATACACACAATCCAAAGGAAAATTGGATCCTGGTATGCGTGGCCCATATAAGATAACTAAAGTCCTCGAAAATGGTCGTTATGAGTTGAAATTACTGGCCGGAGCTTATGGCAAAGTGAGTTATGCCGCAGCTCAATTCATGGTACCTTGGAAAGGTGAATGGACGCCTGAAGAATGTGCAGCCTTCTTTGCGAGTAAGTCACTGTAACAGTAGATCTTGTGATTTTACAGTGTGTTCTAAGACCTATGGACAGGGTAACCAGCCCCAAACTCATGGTCCCCCTTAGAAAACCTATAAGACCCATGGACCGGGTATCCAGCCCCAAACTCCTGGTCTTCTTGAGAGAAAGTATAAGACCTATGGACCGGGTAACCAGCCCCAAACTCATGGTCTTCCTGAGTGAACTTTAAGACCTATGGACCGGGTAACCAGCCCCAAACTCATGGTCTTCCTAAGTGAACTTTAAGGCCTATGGACAGGGTAACCAGCCCCAAACTCTTGGTCATTTTATGGTAACAGTAGATCCTCATGCTGTAGGTCTACTCTTGTCAAGGTACTAAACTTCTGGTTGTTTAGTTTTATATGGATGTAACAGTGATTGTTTGTTTGTAGTCTGGAACGGATTATAAACAATCTTTCCCTCTTTTCCTTGGGGTTCAAACCTTTTCCTATCCCTGTTAATTGTTTCTAACATGAGTGCTATTTATTAACTGTTTAACACTAAATTGGATAATTGTTTCCAGCAACTGACCAATTGGACGACGATGTACCTACAGAGGATCCTAATAAACTTTTAGTAGAGGTTCAAGCCACTGCAAATGAAGACAATGAAGAGGTGCGGTTACTTGAACCTGACGAGGACGTCAGGGTGTCAGGAGAGGCCGTGTAAGGAATGAAGGAATAGAGTGAAGTACGCCAATGGTGGTCTGTACCTAACTTCGCGGTGTGACGTCATTCGAATGAGACTATCGAATGACGAGTAGTATCGTGAAGATCGGTCACTTTTGCTCGGGACCTCGCGGTGTGCGGACTGGTGCATCTCTGTGTCGTGTATCACGTAACTATAATAGTTTACTTAGCCTTAATATTTTAATTATGTATTAGATTTAAATAACCAGATAGTGTTTTTTGTATTCTGTATAACATTAAATTGTTTTTTTAATCAAATAAATCTGTTTTTGCTTACAGTATTGTTATTTGAGTCAGTTAGACGTAATTTGGTTCAGTCTGGTTTGATTTATTTTGATCAGATCAAGTTGGTTCGGTTTAATTCTGATTATTTTATATTTTAGTTGAATGTAAGTTTAATTTGATTTGATTCCGTTTGATTTGATTTAATTTAATATAATTTTATTTAATGATTATTGTTTATTTATTGTATGATTTATGTTTTTTATTATTAGTGTAATGTTATAAGATACTTTATTTTCTAGTTTTATATAGCGAATGTCGTGAAACTCTGTAATAGGCCTAAGAATTTAATTTATTGTAAATATGAATGTATAATGTAAAAAGCTGTTGAGTTTCCTATCAATAAATAAATAAATAAATAAAAGTACCAGAGAATTTACTTGTGGGGATAAAAGTTTTGTAGGTTATTACAAGTAGGTCTTATTTGCTGAGCCAATCCTTTACCAACATTTGCGAAGTAGTTGTTTATAAAATTCACGGACTCAATCGGCGATGACGTGATATTCAGTAAGTAATTCTTTCATATTTTCTTTTCAATTTTTTTATAAGGTTGTTGCAGTAGTTTCTGTATCGAGAGTATGTAATTTTTAGTTTAATTGTTCGTTTACTATTAGGAATTTCTCTTATTATAGTACTATTTTTAGTGGAGTCAGTTAATTTCAGAATAAATTTATCAACCAATAAATTCGGGTCATAACAAAACATTAGTTCTGAGAGATTATTTTCTTGTAAATATATTAAAGCTTGATCAAAATTTATAGTAGGCTTGGTTTTAAAAACGGGTTCTATATTTTTTTCTTTAGAAAGTACTAAAATCGTAGTATAATGGTCAGTAATAGTGGTTTGTAGAATGGCAATTGATGCTGAAATCTTTTTTTTAAGTATCTTCAACATAAAGTGGTCTAGGCAGTTGCATTCCCTGGTGGGTAAAGTATGACCAGCCAATATACCATACCCTGACAACATGTCAAGGTAACTTATCCGTTTTTTTCTTTCATGAGACCTCTCCGAGTCATGGGGCCTAACATTAATATTAATGTCCCCTGCTATTATTATATTTTTCTGTGAGGACAATGATTCTAGTTCTAAACTGAGTGAGTCTGTAAAAGTATCAGTATTTGTAAACGACGGGGATCGATAAATACATAAAACTAAATTATTTAGTAAATCCAACTTAAGGCATGAAGCCAGAGATAGCTGTACTTCTTGAACGTTAGCTTAAAGCGAGTTTCTTACATAAACAACTACTCCGTCGTTTTGGTTAACCTGACGCGTTGTAATATATGAGTGATAGTTCGGTAATTGCGGTATAGGTTTCTCAGAATTTAATCGGCACTCCGTTAAAATGATTATCTCAGTTTCGAATTTCAGAACAGATAACGTCATAATAAAGTTGTCAAAATTGTGGTATATGCTCCGTATATTTTGTGAAATAATAGTCAGGTCATTTTTTTTAACAATGATATGTTTAGAAAGAACTGTAGTATAGCATTCAATTGTTCGAGCAATATCAATATTGTCTATTTCGTTAACTCTTTGCAATGTGTCAGCCATAAGTTTTTTTTTTACTGGAGACGTAGTAACCAAAGAATAAGAAACACCACTGATAAACCTACTGGTCTCATAATTAAGTGGGTAGTTACCGCTCGTGTAAAGTGCGTAGAAAGTTACATAATTGACAACTTTAATAGATTTTGATGTGATTATTTGTGTTATATGATATTCGATGTTTAATTTTTGTGAATTATATGTGCATATTTTTATGTTTTGTATTGATGTGACTTGTGAGCTGTAGAGAATATCCTTAAAAATTTTTGCTTGTGATGGTGTGTGTATGTGTAACTATACAAGTTACACATACACACACCATCACAAGAAAATATTGTTTTATGTGTATTGTTTATATTGTATTGTATGATGTGGCAATATATTGTCTTGTGTGTGTGTGTGAGTCTGAGAGAGTGGCAGAGTCTTTGAAAACTTCTACACGGTACCTTATTTCTATATTCTTATTGCTAGTATTACCCGACACAAGAAGACACATCCTGGTCAATGTAAATAGCTCATGAAAGTCTATTATAAAGAGATGATTATCTAATAATCTAAAAATAAGTAAAAACAGCCTTGAAAATATACAATTAGGCTGAAGGCAAATAGTTTCATCAAGTAGTCATGCCTTTATTATTAGTTGTTCAATTTGTTCTTTGCTTCTAACAGTAATTGTTGGAGCTTGATCGTCCTTCCTCAGTAAACCTTACCGTAGGCTGTCCAGCAGTGGTCATCGCCGAGTGGGCAGGGCGGCAGCACGGGACCCTTTCCTTCCGGCTGACGCAGGTGCTTTCCGGGCACGGTTGCTTCGGAAAGTACCTGTACTCGGTCGCTAGGAGGGAATCGAGTCCCGCCTGCCACCACTGCGACTGCAGTGAGGATTCGGCCCAGCATACGCTGGCGGTCTGCCCCGCATGGGCCACGCAGCGCCGGGCCCTCACTGCAGTCATCGGAGCGGATCTTTCGCTACCGGCCGTAGTTCGCTCCATGGCCGGTAGCGACAGTTGTTTTACCGCGGTCGCAACCTTCTGCGAGGAAGTAATCTAGCAGAAGGAGGCGGCGGAGAAGGCCCGGGAGGACGACCTCCATTCGGACTCGATCCGCCGCCGGCGAACCGGGCGGTGGAGGCGCGTTTATCTGCGCCTCATGCCGCCCTGAGTGTGGCCGCGGGTGGACGGGATGGGTTCTCCCCTCCACCCGCATTAGTTTGGCCAGCCGCGAGGGGGCGGCGTCCGCGTGTGCCGGACGTCGCCTAAAGAGAGGAAACATTTTGAGAAGGAGCCCGCAACAGGAGCGGACCGGCGCTGGGAGGGGTCCAGAAGGCGATAACTACCTGGACCCCTCCTAAACTGGAAGCGCAAAGAGGGCACACCGTGTGGTTTTAGTCGGTTCGAGTCCGACACACCGCCCCGCCGAACGAGAGCCCCGGCGGGGTGACGGTCCGAGGGGATTTCCACACGTAAAAAAAAAAAAGAAAAAAAAAAGAGTCCAGCAGTATTTATAAAATCCCGATTTAGTTAAGTCTCGTGTTAGGGAGTCGGGAGTTAGGTGTTCTGATAAGAATATAGGTGTGTCTTCTCGTGTCTTATAACCAAGATGTTTATAACAGAGCTTGGACTTGTGTTTGATGTTAAAGGTTTTTGCCATTTTTAATATTTCGTTCTTTAATACTGTGGATCCAGTTTCCACGATAATCGGTGTATTCTGGTTTTCGACGTTCTTTCCACGCACCCTGTATATATCCTTAATGTCTTGCTTGGTTATGGAACAGTCGATGTTCTGGGATAGGCACATAACCATATTTATTAAGTCTTGTTTTGACTCACTAGGGGGTTTAGGCACATTTTTTATTACAAAATTGGCCTTACGATGTCCTACATCTATTTCTTCTATTTTACTCTCTAGCAATGTGATATACTTCTTATCTTCCCTTGTTTGTGCTTCTAATTTTGATATCTTACCCTCAAGATCTTTATTTTGTAACATAAGGTATGTAATTGAGCTTTCATAGTTGAGGTTTGATTGTGGAATTTCTTTAAGTGTAGACGAAAGTTGTTGAATTTCGTTTCCTTGTTTGGTCAGAAAAAAGGACATCATTTCCTTCACCTCCCTCCTAAAATCATCCAGCTGCTCACCAATTGATATCTCATCACGACTTCTCTTCACCCGCTGGAATACATAATTTGGGGGAGTCATATTATGTTCTTTCCCCACTAAGTCAATCTCCGATTCCGAGATAGATTTGTTCATTGTCATATTGAAAGCTTATACGTTGTTATTATATCATAGAATAATGTGAGAAGTGGTTTCGCTACTTAGCTAACTAAGATGATTTGTTGATTAGCTGACGGCGAGCGTAGATCCGACGGGGGCGGGACCCTTACGATTTAAATCTCCAATCGTTGCATTGGGGGGCGCGGCAATGCGCAAGCACAGGATCCTATTAAAGTATTGCAAAGTTTCTTACGTACATATATGTTGGGGCGGGGCTTTTGTAGCGAGTAGTCGGGTGAAGTACCAGGCGCACAAGTAGACAGAGAAGTAACAGAAACGCAGTCGGTAGCAACGTTGAAGCAACTATCACCTTTTCTAGTTTTATGCACTCCTATTATTTGGGTTGAATTTATTTTAGTAAATTACAGTATTTTTAAATAAAATTAAAAATAATTTAATATAGCTCTAAGACACGTTAGCATCTTACGGAGGTCCGGGGAGAAGGGGAGAAAGGGAAATAAAGCCTGTACATGGTTATTTTTTTAAAAGGCTATTGTTATTGTATCGTTCACATAACAAGTCCCAAGCCATTGCGTAATTGTCGCCTTTAAAATCTATGTTTTTAATTATCTCCGATGCTCGACCTTGAAGTGACGCACGGAGATAGTGGAACTTGTTGATGTCGTCGATACAATCACTGCTATGAATTAGTGAGCAAAATGTGTCTCTAAATTCTAGCCAATACTCATAACTACCATTAAAGTGTGGCAAATCAATTTTCGGTAAGCGCACAAAATTATTTTTAAACGATGCATCTGATTTAGAGCCCGCATCAGACCCCGCCTCCGAAGCAGCATGCATAGCAGCGCTCGCTGCCAATGCCTTGCGCGCACGCGCAAGCAGACAGTAATAACGGCCCTCGAACTGAGCCCGTTCTGAATACTCGTCATCGGGCATCTCCGAGGTCGACTCGATCTCCATCTGTAAAGCGTCGAATGTCTCGTATAAGACATCAAAAGTCTTCAACCGAGCTTCTAAATCTATTTGTTGCAGCTCTGATAGGTCTTTAGACGATAAAGTTACAATTAAATATTTATCAAAATTAGTTACTTTAGCCTTCATGCTACTACGTTTTTTAATCAATTTTTCTAGCGACATTTTGAAAAAAAATATATATTTAAAGACAAGCCAAAAATGAGTGAGCGATAATAGAATGCAATAAATAATAATTCTTTAATAGCCTATTGAATGGAATGCACAGCTGTTCAATCACAAAGAACCGTAGAACCAGTTGGTTACGTAAGCAGTGCGAATGGTTGAATACGCATGGAATGACACCAAATGCAATATTTTGACTATTCAAAGGTAAAATAGCCAGCAATTAAACTATCTGGTCAAATAATAGGCAAAGACGGGGTTGCATGGAAAACGGAAGTAGAAAAATAATTACTTTTAAATCACTATTTAGAAATAATAACAAGAAAAGATTGGATGGGAAAAGGAAATAATTGGAACGAACTCACGGATGTCCTTAACCGGCCTTAATCCCTTCCTTATGCACGGTGAGGATGATGACTTACAACAGGCGGTCGACACATCGAGTTCAAAGTTCAACTTGTTGACCCGACGTTTTCGCAGTTTTATTCTGTAGTTCTTTTTTTTTTTTTAATCTTTTTTTTTTTTAATAAGGGGTTTTTATCCAAAAGGATACGCCAACCCCATCGTATATTCTGTAGTTCTTTTACGGTAGAAGGACCAATGTTTGATCTTCGAGTAACGCAGCGAAAATATAAATTAAAGGTGGACTGTATTTTAAATTGATTTATTACACTGTACATGTAATATGGAATGATTCGGTAATGCGTGTGTCTTGTGCGCCGCTCGGTCGCCAAGTGAAGGGGTTCGTGACACCTTCAATTGCCGCAATCGTCGCTCCCGGCGCGCTCCGCCGCGCCCTCCGCTCCCTCGCTGGTTGCCCACGCGCCTCACGCGTGAACAATATGAAATTGGCGTTTTGTACGGGTGGAATATAAAGTCTTTTTTTTTTTGTAAAATATATTTAATTAATCAAAGTATGCACCGTTGTTATTTATGCACTTTTGCCATCTTATAGGTAGTTCATTGATCCCTTTACTAAAAAAAACCATGGCGGCGAGAATCAAAAAACTCTTTGAAGGCGGTTTGGACTGCCGCATCGGAGTTGAATTTTTTTCCTTGTAAGAAGTTAGTTCTTCCTTCATGGTTTGCAGTTGCTGACAGTAGATCAGATATCTACTAATCCGTAATCGTTTGGCCAGATTTTAGAAAGCTGTAGTGAACGTAGAGCTGAGTGTAACTTTTTCTGAGTCAATTTTTATAGCTTCTAGCCATGTTTGGGTTGCATTCCGAATGCTACCCTTGACAATTGAAACCGGGCACAGGTCGTAATCCCGCTTACGCTTGGAGTTTTCTACCGCCGCTTTGGCCAGCTCATCGGCTCTCTCATTTTCCTCCAAACCTACATGGGCTTTAATCCAAAACAGGGCAACAGTTTTGTTTTGGAGAGACGTCGTTTTCAGGTAGTCTCTTGTGGCCACAGCCAGCGCATGCGCGGAGCGGGGGTTTTGTACGGTTTGGAAAGCGACCATGGAGTCGCTATAAACTCCTAACGCCGTTTCCCGGCGCACAGTGGTTTCCCTCTAATTCTCATTTTTAATTCTCATTCTCATTCTAAAATAAAAATCTCTTACCAGAAAGGAAAAAAATCACAGTAATTCAAGTAAGGTAAGGTAAACAAAGTAGTAAAAAATTTAAAAAATAAAATAAAATTGAAACAATTTTTTCTGCTCTATAGAGCAAGTAATTCAGCGAGTGTTCACACTCTTCAGTTTTAAATAGATGAGGGTGTTTTTCAGAAAACTTGACCTGTGACGAAAAGGATATATAATTTTGTCATTACATGAAATTGTTTATATTTACTATGGTATTAAAGAATAAATTATTAGCTAGCTAAATATGCTATTTAAATTAAAATAAAACCATAAATATAAGAAATATTGAAGTGTTTCTGTCAACATATGAAGCAAAGTATTCCTGTTCGTCACAAAATATAATCAATCAGAAATAAAACAGAAAGATATGCTTAAAATCTTTCCAAAAATATTAAAAGGGTAGCATAATTCTATCACATTAATAAATAATCAGCGACATAGTTTCATGTTCGTCACTTCTCGGACACATCGCACTAGAAAAGTTGACATTACTAATGATTCGTGTTACAAATTAAAAAATCAAGCAAAGTGAGGAATTTTTAACAATAACAAAATACTGATAATGACAAAATAAATACAATAAAATGAAAAATAGATATTAAGTCATTTTTATACCACTCAGAATATGGGACAGTGACTATTACGAAAATTGCGTGACGAATAGGAATAATTTGAGCAGTGTCCACACTGCCTCTTTAAAAACACAATCACAATAAGAATAAAGCATTAACTAACATTAGTTTACTATTAGTGAAACCTGTTAGATTCATTAGACCTTTTTTTACATTAAAGTTTTAAAAGATACGAAATTATCAATTTGAGATTACATAACTTATATTACGAGAACCAACTTAGTCGTTAGTGATTATTTTAAATTTTTACTTACTTACATTTTTTACTTACATATTTTTTCACAATTACTTTGAAATCATAGGAACTTTTTAATATTCTTATCGACAAAGATAATAACGTTTAATATTATTGTATACTAATTTCAGACATCATAATCCTACTTGAATCTACTATTCAATCATAATTTTAAAACTTAAGTTACGGCGAAACACTTGAATAATTATATTATTCAGATCCGTAACATACCTATATCGCAAATATAGTCAATAATTGAAGGATGGCAACAACACAAGCTGAACACCCAGTTTTTGCATGCAACGCAACGAGTCACATCATTAGGTACAAAAAATTTACGACGTTTACATAAATTACATAGAAAGTACTTTGAAACGTTGAAGCGTTTTTACTGATCTAGATTTCCAGGTGTCTCTGCCGGCTTCATAACCATCGCTCTCTACTGGTGACATTATCTTTGCCCCGTTTTCTAGGTACATTTACATTCTTCGAATCAACATTTTCTTTCAAGCCTGTAGAAGTACTAGGTTCTTCAATATTGTGTTCAGAACTACAGTGCAAGACATCATTTTGCGGTATAAAAGTAGATACATCTAAAGCTTCTAGGTCAATTACATTGGTGAGATCAATCAAAACACTTGGGTCAATAGAAATAATTTCACTAATTTGGAAACTATCATCATTTTCAATGGGTTCAAGACAATCATTTTTTTTTGGTTTCACTAACAAAATTACACTAGCATTCATTATTTAAACCAGATCTTCTTCTTGGTCAAACTATCTTGAATTGAAGATAATTCGCCAACTTTCAGTCTTTGCTCAGATTTTAAACAAGCGTTTAAAAGTAAGATGCATGAAAAGTATTCTCAAGAACTTCGAAGTCTTCTGAAACTAATGAGTCTTGGTCTTGGTCAAGCAAAATATGTGTTTTAGGAGAATGGCAGTTACATAGACCACGTCGGTCACCGCAAAAGCAACTCAGTTGCCTGTAAAAGATTGCATTTTGCCCTCCTGACATTATTTGACGTAACTTCATGGTTTCAGGGACAGGTTGACTGTTATCCGGTATAAGATTTTTCATGTTTATAATATCATTATCACCTATAAAAGAACATTTTACTAACTGCATGCTCTTTTAATCAGTTTGCCGCATCATACTGCCGACAGAAACGATCTGGTGGGGGTGTCTGCATCCTTCTACAAAACCATATCGAGAGTATAGAGAGAACTGATATTGCGAGTATGTCTATCGAATATATCATAGAAGTGTGTGCCATAGAATTAGTTATTGAAAATTTGTTAATTATTGTTATTTATTGGACTAGGAGGGAGCGGGACAGCTTTTACAAGCAACTAACAGAAATTTTAAAATATATTAACATTAAATATTCTAAAAATAATATAATAATTGGAGGCGATTTCAACATTAATATTTGAAAACAATTTAAAAACAAATGAGTTCTTGGACCTTTTGTTGCAATATAAATTTAAGCAACACGTGAAAGATCCCACGCGCGTTACTCGAATTGCATCATCATGCATTGACCTAATATTTACAAACTTCGCTCATAACAAATTATATACAACCGTTGAGGAGCTAGGTTTCTCAGACCACTGTGCCACTACTGTGCACCAACTCTCTCTCTCTCTCTGCCCCAACCAACACAACTCACCAACACTCTGCCCCAACAAACTAAACAAATTTCTTGGTATGTCAACAAAAGAATATATAGTAATTTGAATACACAATTATTCAAATCTAAGTTAAAGTGTCAAAATTGGAATAACATTATTAAAGTAGGTAAAAACATGAATGAAAATTACAATGAGTTTAACAACACACTAATAAGTATTTGAAACCAATGTATACCAATAAGAAAAATTAAATTAAAAACAAAGTTCTAAAAGCAATGGTTAACTAAAGGAATTTTAACGTCTTGTAAAAATAAAAGATTGCTAAAAATAATCGCACTTAAAACTAAAAATCCAATACTCATACAAAACTACAAAACCTATGAAAAGATCCTTAAAAACACAGGCGTTACAGCGAAAAAAATATATTACATAAATTAGATTAAAAAATCGGATAATAAGACAAAAACAATGTGGAGTGTTATAAATGAACGAACTAACAAAACGTCTAAAAAAGAAAAATCTAATCTAAAGCTAATAATCAAGAATAACATGATCTCTGACCCAACAGTCATAACAATTTTTTTTAATAATTTTTTTGCTTCTATCGGAGAAGAGAACATCCAAACAACAGAACAAGAAATCCAAGGCGTCTCCGTGTTGCGCCCCACCTAAAACACGATGTTTCTCACCCCCGGTGATCCTTACGAAGTTAATAAAATAATTAAGAACTTAAAAATAAAAAGAGCCACGGTGTACGAACTCGTACTTAGCTAAGTCAGCGAAATTGTGGTTTATAAGGTTTTAATTTATACAGTGAATTTTAGTGTTCAATAAACGCTCATAACTGCAACATTGGTATTTTTTACCTAACTTCAACTATAAACAAACTTCAACATTAAATGTTGGGAAAAATATAATAACAGCCCCAACATTTTGGTCCTTCGAGGTTTTTTATGAAGTGTGTCGTGTGTTTGACTGTGGTAGCGAATCGGTTGGCTGGCCTCCCACAAGCGGGTCTCACCAGTTCAATTGAGAGCGTCGCACATACCCGGTAGAATATTGCGATCACACATATCACTGAACAAACAACATACCAGCGTGAGCGATACTAGGTATCTACAAGACTCGCTATGGAAGCAAAACTGCAAAAACAACAAATCCTATCTGAATCTATCAGGAAGATTTTGAGCAATTTCAAAAAGGATTCAGCTAAACGAAAAACTGCTGCGTACATCAGTGAAAGGCTGGAAGTGGTCGAGGAATTATGGACTCAATTTGACCTAAATAACACCATACTCTCGACATCTACAGAGCGAAAAACGGATGATTATTTCATCAGCAAGGCCTATGAAAAGGTTAAACAGGAATATGAAACGATACGTGGGTTGTTACAGAACTGGCAAGTTTCATCTACTGAGGATAAGGGGATACCTTCTAACACAGACGAGCTTATTAATCAACAAAGTACTAACTTTCGAGCTTTCATGAGAATCATCAAGAATATTAACATATCTGATATTAAGGAGAAGTGGGAAATTGAAGACAAACTCGAGATGCTGCAGGCTAGATGGAAAATTGGACCCCGAAACATATGCGTCCTACATGGAGCATTAGAACCTATTAAGAGAAATAAAAACTTTGCACACAAACAAAACAGCGCGCCAGTAAAAGAATTTACATCAAAACATATTTCAACAAGTGGAACAGCGCACAAGCGGAAAGAAGCTGTCCTACTTGTAAAACTCGTCACATACTTGCTTATTGCAAGGTGTTTCGCAACATGACATCAGAAATTAAATTGAAAACATTAAAACAATTGCAAATTTGCACAAATTGCATGTTTTCACACAATGGGCAAGAATGCACATCGAATAAAACATGCAAAATTTGCAATGATCGACATCACACAATATTACACGAGGTGATTGACACGGAAATATCTAGGTCAGAAACCAACAGTGCGACTACAGCCAACAAGCAACCTACTACGTCAGACTCTTTGCCTCGGAATGTCAATCACGTGGCCGGAACCCATAGCGAAGTACTACTGGCTACGGTTCAGCTAAAAATCATGGCTGTTGATGGCACATATATAATTATGAGATGTTTACTCGATCAAGGGTCACAAATCAGTCTGGTAACTGAGTCAGCGGCGCAGCGTTTGGGACTAGCCAAGCGCAAACAACAAGCAACTGTCTTAGGCGTTGGAATATCATCAAATGAGAGTCATGGAACGAAACAACTAGTTTGCGAATCACTATATAGCGATTACAGACTCACTATTGAGGCGTTAGTAATGAAAAAGGTATTAAACAGTTTACCAAACTACTCGTTTGAGCAGCAAAACTGGCCACATCTACGCAACATTACCTTAGCCGATCCAGACTATAACATCTCGCGACCTATTGATATTCTTCTTGACGCGAGCGTCTATGCTGAAATAGTGCAAGATGGTGTACTCCGCGGGCCCTCTCACGCGCCTATTGCATAACAGACCCAAATGGGGTGGGTATTGATGGGCAACGTCACCACGTTTAATTGTCACGCCGTATTGAACAACCTAGAAGAAATATCATTATTTTGGGAATCTGAAGAGATTTCTGAGATTCTGAGTCAACCCTCAAGCCCTATGACCGCTCAAGAGGAGTACTGCGAGAAATTATACCAAAATACAACAAGAAGATTATCTGACGGCAGATATGAAGTGCGAATTCCCATGAAAAAACAATTCGCTAACAAATTAGGGGCATCAAAGCCACAGGCAATTGCTCAATTTAGACAATTAGAAAAAAGACTAGCGAACAATGTAACATTGGCAAATGTTACATTGTGATTAACAATTATTGATCGTTTGACTAAGCAGACTAGTTTTTTGTATTGGACATAATGTACGAGATATAAATAATAAATAATTTCTAATAAGTAATTATTTTGTAGCGTAAGTACTTTTCACTAAGTGTGTCACGAGCGAGAGTGATAAGTGCCTACTGTGTCTGTTCTTAAACCGTGTATTTAGCATGGTCTAAAATATTTTTCAAACCGTGTAACTGTGTCAACATCTATGTCTAACCCAGGATCAAGCCCATTTGGCCGTAGCCAGTTAATACGGAGGAGTCTCCCACCGACGCCCACACAACAATATCAGCCGACTGCCTGCGAACCGCCTTTGCCCGAGAATAATGATTTACTTAGCGAGGTAATACCGACGTCGGAGATCCAGAAATGGATGACAAGTATTGATGCCCTGTTAGGTGAGGTCTGCTCTATAGTGGCAGAGGGCAAAATGAACACGGATCAGAAGATGCGTGTCACAAATATTTGCCGTAAGATCGGATCTGGAACGTCTCAGATGGCCGTACTGTACCAATCTCTGAAGCAAAAAGCTATTCTTGCGCATACCACTATACAGCACCTACAGGAAAACCAGGATGTAGCGAGCTCCCTCAGCCAATTTAAGAGCACTGTTGAAGAAAAGCTGAGTACGCAGGAACGTACCTCCTTTGCCGATATGGTGAAAAAAGGTGCAGATAAGTTTGTCCGTCCAAACAATGTTAGTACCCTAGCTATCTACCCTAGCGACAAGACCAAAACTAGTGAAGAAACGAAGTCTCTGGTCCAAAAAATCATTTCACGAAGTCAGAAAAGTGAGGAATGGAGGCGTTCTCATTAGTGCCGCAACTAGAGGGGATATCGAGAAACTAAAGCAGTCAGAGAAATTAGTCTCGTCAGGCCTAAAAATTGAAGAACCTACTAAACGTAATCCGAGAGTCACTGTTGTGGGTGTACCCGTAGCCCTGACTGAAAAAGAGGTACTTGAATGCATTTACGAGCAGAACTTGGCAGACTGGTTTCCTGGCGCTTCTCGCGAGTCCTGTCTCAACACCATAAAACTGAGCTACAAATCAGGTAAGAAAAGCCTTCCTACCTGTAACTATATACTTGAGGTGCCGGCTAACATTAGAAAGGCGCTTATCAATCAAGGGAGAATCTACATAAACTGGACTTCTTGTCCAGTTAGAGATTTCACGCTGGTGACTAGGTGCTTCAACTGCAAGGAGTTTGGACATGCAGCTAAATATTGCCGTGAAACCAGCCCAACCTGTAACCATTGT